AAAGTATTTCCTTTTATTCATTTTAAATTTGTTACCTTTTAACGTCACAAGATGGCCCTTGTTCTTGCATTAAGGGGCATAGGGTACAGGCATTACGAATTCAGCTTTAATCTTTCCAAGAACTCGCCATTGGTAAAACTCTGCCTTCTTCATATTGTGTTCCAACTGGCCTATGTCATCTTGATTCAATGAGATAATTTGTGTAAATGGCCTCGCACTACTTTGGACATAGTAGGCATTGCAAGAAAGGTCTCTTTGACATTCAATTTCATTTAGTGGACAAATGTTTATTGAGCACCTACTGCGCGTGGGAGTTTTTGTTAAGTCTTGGAGAGACAGCTTCGAGTGAGGCAGGGTCCTTGTTCTGAAGGACCTCATTTTCTAGAGAAGACAAGCTGCAATAAAGTAAATAAAGATGAATTACATGACTTTGGGGTGGTGGTAAGTACTATGGGAAAATTAGACAAGAGTGATTGGCAGAGGATGGCAGGGGCCATTTCAGATTACATGGTCAGGGAGCAGCTCTCTTGAAAGGGGGCTGTTGAGTTGGCCATCAAGGAATTATCTACAGGACATCTCCATGAAGGTGAACCCATGTTCCTAGATGCTGTGAGTGTGAGGCAAGGGAGGCAAGACTCACATCCTTCTCCAGTGAGTGAATGAATGAATCAAGGTTGAGGAGGGAAATCATAGTTTTAGAAATCATTCAGTAAGTTACTCATAGACCCAGGAGTAATGTTTCTTGGATCCCTATACCCTGTAACTCCAAAGACTGTTGGAGTAGAGAAAACACGGGAGTGAGTGAGTTAGACTTAGTGTCAAGCCCTTCCCACGTCCCCATCTGTTCCTCTAGGGTGAACTTAAGGAAGTCACCTGGTATCTCCTTCAAAAGGTCCTCATTCATATAAATGGGAGTAAAATTTCCCTGGGGTGCCTGGGTGGCTCAGTCAGTGAAGCATCTGCCTTCTGCTCAGGTCATGATCCCAGGATCCTGGGATCGAGCCCTGCATAGGGGCTCTCTGCTCTTTGGGGAGCCTGCTTCTCCATCTCCCTCTGACACTCCCTGCCCCTGCTTGTGCTCTCCCTGTCAAACAAAGAAATCAAATCGTAAAAAAAAAAAATTTCCTTGCTTCATGAGAGGTGGAACATTGGAGATAAAATGATGTAGTAGCTAGTTCTTTATACACTACCAAATGATGTCAAAATGTTGGTCATTTGGGAAGGAACCTGTTGTTCTCAGCCCTGCACACCTTTCTTTCCTCTTGCCTTACTCCTTCCTGGTTTTCCCTGTTCCCCATTTTTATCCCTGACTCTGCCTATAAAGCTCATCAATGGCATCCACGGCACTTCACTTCCTGTCCCTGGAGTGGCTTATATGAAGGTGGTGGCAGAAGGGGGGGGTTACCTCTCTGAAATATTGCCTACTTCTTAAGGGCTATAAAAATGAAATCAGGTGGGGAGTGCCTGGGCGGCTCAGTCAGTTAAGCAAGAATCTGACTCCTGATCTCAGCTGGGGTCTTGATCTCAGGGTTGTGAGTTCAAGCCTCGCATCATGCTCCCCGCTGGGCGTGGCACCTACTTTAAGAAAAAAAAATTATTTAAAGTAAGAATTTAAAAACATGATAATGGAGTCAGGCAGAGCTATCGCTAGTTGAAACAGGGGACCAGAGGTGTATTTCCAATAATAATCGCTTGTTTTTATTTTGTTTACTGCTTGGTCCTCCGGGGTTAGGTTAACCAAACTTCTATACACAAAAACGGCTTTTCCTGAATTTCTGAGGGGGTCCTTCCTCCAGAAAATGGAGGCTTTGGTTGAAATGATCTGATTACCTGCTTGGAGCTTCCCCCTGCCTTCCGGCATGATAGGCTTATAGCATTTCCCATGCTTCTCTTGTTATTCTTTCTAATTGCCCCTTAATTTACCTTTTTTTTTTTTCCATTTAGGCAGTTTGAAGTAGAAGCATGTGCAGCCCTGCATAATAATGTATTAGAAAGGCATTTCAAGGAATAAATTATTAGCATTGTTTACATGCATGGTTCAAATTTACTGGCAAATTGTTCAGGCCTTGGCTTTATGAGGTAGCTGCCAGCAAGGCTCCTTCTGGGTAAAACCCTGAAATAGGAGAAGTTTCCTTTTGGTTTCCCTCACCCACACATCCTCTGCCTTCTTCCTCCCCTTTCAACACCTCCCACCGTTCCTGCCCCCAAAAGAACTCTGTGGACCCTGCAGGCCTTTTACACCTTCATGCGAAGACATTTCGTGGGTTCTCCACGACCCACCTCCCAGCCACCCTGCACAGAACTGGCCCCCAATGAAAGTGAGGTGTGCGAAGGAATAAATCTTCAATGGTATAATTTTAGACCCTGTGGCAACTGGGAAGGGCAGCTATTTTGGGCCCTGGGGCTTTTTCCTTGACCTGAGATGATGTTACTTTGCCGGCCGTTGGCGCAATCTGCCAGCCCGGCATGCGGTCCTTGTAGCAATGTGCCTGCCATTCCTGGGGGGTGCTTCTCCATTTCTCTGTGGAGCCGCTGTGTGCTCCTCCAGAGCTCTGTGCAGGTATGCAAGGCCAAGAATCTGGCCACGTGCACCCACCTGGGCTTGTCACCGGTGACATTTTGAGGGGGTGGCTCAGGCTACCCCCTCAGAGGCAGCACAGATGGAAGGTCCTTCCTTCCACAGAGGAGGCGGGGAAGCTTCCTGGTCTGGTTCTTGCCTGTCCCCCCAGCCTCCATGCTTTATCAGCTGCTCAGTGACCGTTGTGCGGGTCACCCCCTCTCTGAGCAGGGTGACCAGGTGGTGTCTGTGCCACAGCGTCTGGGCACCCCTCCTGGGAGGCCTCATTTGAAGCTGCTGGGGGGAGGGGCCTGACCACCCTGCTTGCTATCTTCCCACTCAAGCCCCTGATGCAGCTGCAGCCCGCAGACCGGTGTCCTGGCTGGGGAAGCGAGTCTGGCCTCCTACAGCTGATGGACAGGACAGGCACAAGAAGTCTGAGGGTGGCCAAGACAATAGTGCTTTCCAGAAGGGGCTGAGAGTCTAGCCAATATCATCCCTGGGGAGAATATCTTGTTCGTGGTTTTTACAACCTAAAAAAGTGTGCACAAGACCTAGAGATCATTCAGGAAGGAGGAATAAAGTCAGTAAAGAATGAAAAAATGGGAACAGCATTTTGTTGTTGTTGTTGTTGTTGTTGTTGATGTTGTTGTTTTGTTTTTTTTAAGGATTTGAGCTTGTTCGTGCCAAAAAGAGAAAACAGAAGCCTTTTATAGGTATGGAGAGAACATGGCTCTCTCTGCTACAGGTCCCTTGGCCATAAAAAAAGGGGAGAATTCCAGAGTTGGAGAGAGAGAGAGGAAAACGGGGTGGGGAGGGGACCAGGATACAAGAAGAACCTGATTAGGGAACCGAAAAGATAGTGCCTGGAGGGTAAGACAAAGGGAGAGAAAAAGATCGAGAGATAATGCTGCCTTTCCTTATCTGCTGTTGAATTGACAAAAAACATTTTTTTTTTTTTTTTGAAAGGCAGGGAGAGAGAGAGAGCCCACGTGCACACGCTTGTGCCTGTGCTAGCTGGGGGGGAGGGGCAAAGGGCAAGGGACAGAAAGAATCTTAAGTAGGCTCCGTGTCCAGTGTGGACCCCAAGGTGGGGCTCCATCCCATCATGACCTGAGCTAAAACTAAGAGTCAGATGCTTAATCGACTGGGCCACCCGAATGCTCCTTGGTGTTAAATTAAATTTAACAGATATTTTGAGAACCAACTATGTCTGTTCTGGTTCTCCATTTCTGTAGGACAGATACCCTTAAAATTTATTTACTTAAAACTGCAACATTTTATTATTATCTGTCATGGTGCTGAATGCTGACTGGGCTCAGCAGGTGGGTCTCATTTCGTGAGGATGAGGTCTGCAGGCGGCCCAGGTCACCTCTAAGGCTTTCCCACTGACACGTGGAGACTCACACTGGCTCTTGCTGGAACCTTAGCTCGGGCCACCAGCCGGAATGCCTGGTCACTGTTCACGGCAGCTCATCCCTGTGCTCCTTTCCCAGCCTCTCAGGGCTCCACAGGTGAGTATCCAAAGAGAACGAGGTAGAGGCTGAGCCCTCCTTTCTGATCTGGCCCACGCACATACACAATGGGTCCACCAGTCAGTCTGGTCACCTCAGATTTAAGGAGAAGGCACATAGACCCTTCCTGTGCATTTGAGGAATGTTCCAGAACTGTGGCTGTGCCTTCAAACTGCTAAAATGTCCAATCATGATGTCACCTGTTCTCAACCTTCAGACCTCCAGGAACTTCTCATCTAGTTGGAGCTATGCTCCAGTTAAGTAATCAGTGGAAAGGAATGAAGTATCCATTCACCAGAACGTGAGGTGATAGCAGAAAATGTGCCAAATGGGGAGCAAGATGAACTCGTGTGTGGAGAGGCCATAGGCAGAGGGCAGGTAGGAAGGCCTGTGGCCTCTTGTCTTTTGGAGAGCTTTAGAGCAGGTCAGATGGCAGAGGCTAACACTCCCTGACTCTGGAGTGGGTGTTCTGGCCAACTTTATTCAAGCCCCAACATTTGTTCTTAATATTGTTTATTTGTTCTTAATAACTTTGTATCCTGTTACCTGTTTTCTCTTCCCCTGCCTCATGTTTATTCCACAAACCATCCTTCCTTTCAACAACATTCTTCTTCTGTGGTCCTCAAAATCTTTCCATCCCTCTTTCTCCCTTGGTCACCACTATGCTTTCTGTGCATGAAAAATGTTTACCTCCCATTCCCCTTCCTTACTTTTTGCTTCTCTATGGCCATTTCTCAGATGTGACTTCTCCCTGCCTTTTCCAGTCCCCCTCCTCATTTGACTGCTTGAAATATGTATCTTCATGTTGGGTTCCCTTTTTGTGGCCATTGTCTCTTGCCTTCTAAAACCGTGTCTTATAGTCTGTGTAGCTCATGCCTTTCTTCTCTGCTCTGACTTGTCTTATCTAGGTGCCATTTGTCCCGCAGCGTCCCAGGGCAATGGGCCCTGGTTTGTCCAACATCCAGCATCTCCACTGGCTACAGCTTTGATGGTGTACTATCTTCAGGGTGAGGCCTTGTCCACAGCCACAAACTTTCAGGTGGGCTTTGCTGCTCAGCTGCTGACCTTTCTCTGGTAAGAGTTTCCTATGGTCCCATCATCACAAAAGAGATGTTTTTTTGCATCTCAGTCTCTGTTCTCCAGATATTACTAACTGTAGACATTCACTTAAAAAAAAAAAGATTTATTTATTTATCTTAGAGAATAAGAGAGAGAGAGCATGAGCAGGAGGGGCAGAGGGAGAGGGGGAGAGACTCTGAGTGCACGGAGCCCAAAACAGTGTTCGATCCCAGGACCCTGAGATCGTAACCTGAGCTGAAACCAAGAGTCAGATGCTCAACCACCTGAGTCTCCCCGCCCCGTGCCCCTAGACCTTCACTTTTAAATCCCCCTGTAGGTTTAAGTCCTTCTCTCCTCTTAGTATAAAAATGATATATATCCATCGTAGAGAATTTAGAACACACAAAAGAAGCAAAACCAAGAAAACCAATATTGTGGGTATAAACATTGTTAAGGCCTTTGCGTGGGCTACTCTTTTCCCTCCATATTTTGTTCAGAAAAAAAAAAAAAAAAAAACAAACCAAATTGCTACTTAGATGGGTAGTGCTTTCCTCCGAGTTGTTTGCTATTTTATAGAAACAACTGTGGCAAAACCAGAGCCTCTGACCCCAAGCTAACTGGACAAGTCTGGGCCATCAGGCCCTCACTAGGCCGGTACCTGCCCTTTCCTTAATGTAAATCAGATGATATTGGGATCTGGACCTATGATAGCACATCAAGGTGGAGTTAGAACTTTCACTTTGAAGCCTAAAACTTTATTGGAGATGGTGGTTTACAAGAGACAAATAGAGAAGACAGGAGTCTAGAGGCATTCCTTGGATCCTGGCATGAATTCCTGTGGTGAATTTTGTGCTCTAACCTCTTATTCATATCTTAAATTCTCCCTTAGTGGTGGAGCTGTGTCTGTGGGATTCTGACATTTCCCCCTAACAATATCTGAGCAAGGGGATACTTTTTTGCAACCTGCTTTTCTTCATTTAGTAGTGATTCATATGTTTTTTTCTGTGTCATTGGATATTCTTCGAGATTATGATTTTGGGGCCTACACAGTGACAACAGTGGACGTTTGAATATTTATGGGGAAAGTGAAACATGCTGCTTAAACTCTGGCATTAGATAGTACTGAGTCCAAATGCCTGACACATAGTTTGCTATGTGACTTGGGCAAAGTATTTAAACACTCCGTCCCAGACTCCCCATCTGTTACATGGGTATAAGGATGTGGTCCAGTGATGTAATGAAATCGAATGTTCCCAGGACACAATCTTGCCACAAAAGTAAGGGCTCCATAGATTTTGCCTATGATTATTAGTTACCATAATCCTAAATCCTCTGTAATTGCTCATGAAACAGCCCCCCATACTTTTCAGTATTACAGACAAAGCTCTGACAAATATTCCCAAACATTTACATGTTATTTTCTTGAGATAAGTGCCTACAAGTTGCATCATCGGGTCACAGATTATAAACATTTAAAGAGTTCAAAACTGTCACTGCTTTCACTGAATCTTCTAAATTGTCCACAGCCCAGACTTTCCCATTTTTTTTTTCATGTCCACAGTTTCAGAGACAACGTGTCCCTCTCTGTGTCCAGGATTTGCTGAATGCTCACCTTCCAACAAAATTCACACAGTGTTGTCTGACAGTTTTTAAAATGTTTTTACATCTGATATTCAAATTGGGACTTTTTCAGGTAGATTTCACTCATTCATGTACTTACTCACATACTAGGTGGAGATCAAGTTTATGTACAGAAATAAGTTTATAGGATAGGTTTATATTGTCAGAACTGGCTTTTGTGTTGCTAACCCTGGAGAGGTCTTTGGAGCTTTGAGGAAGAGTTCTAGACAGTTGTAAGGAAGTCACCTATTGACCAGGCTGAACGATATCTAGAAAATCTTTCCTCTCTAGAAACAGGACTATTTGAAACAGGAACACTTTGACCCTTTGACCTAATAGGAACGATCTCCCACCTGCAGAACTCATGTACCCTGGCTTCTAGGCGCAGGAAATATCAATATGAAATTCACTGAGATGCTTCTTTGAGCTACCCATTCTACTGTGCACCAGAAAGATGAAGAAAACCCAAACCCAGCATGCTCCTTGCCTCAGGGAGCATTGTCTTTTGGACAAGGGGATATACAAACAATTATAGGTCATAGTTAAATTCGCCAGAATGGAGAAGCGTATCTGGAAGGAAATCCTTGAATCACAGTCTGCAGTTAGCCCGATTGTCTCCAGATGGTTTTGGTGGGTCCAAGGTTACAGTATTTAGAAACATTTTTAGTTGCCAACAAGGAATAACTAGAGATTTCAGGTAAAAATGTAGATTTCTGTCTCACCTTGAAAAAAAATGGAAGTTTTGGCAATACGGAGCCCTCATGTTATCATGACAACAGTGAGGCATGGCTGACCTATTAGCTATGGTACCGGTTCTCTCTTTCTTTCTTTCTTTCTTTTTTTTTTTTTTTGCACAGTCCCCACCACTCCCTGCTGTACTACCCTTTGCTGCTTTACTTATGTGTGCTATCTGTATGAGCCATGAGCTTCTGACCGTAGGTCTAGCTAAGGGGGCATTTATTCTTTCATGGGCTCTCAGAGAAGACACAGAGAGGTCTGCTAGAGCAGAGGACTGCGGGGTAAGCAAAAATATGCTAGGTAGGTAGGTGGAGGGAGGACCATCCATGGCGGGCAGAGGTATGACAAACAGACAAGATTGGAGAAGAGTTGGGTGTCTGACAGAAGGGACTGGGAGAAAGAGTTGGAGAGGCATGTGAGCATCAGCTCTTAAGCAGCCTGGCACACCAAAATAAGGAATTGAGATTTTTGTTGTTGTTGTTGTTGTTGTTGTTGTTGTAAAAACCAGTTCTGATGCTTGACAGAAGAAGAGCTAAAAAAGTTTGTATTATCTGTGCTCTGACCTCATGGCGGTACCTGGTGGAGCACGTTGTGCGTAGAATCTCATTCAATCCTGACATCAAGCCCAGAGGACATGTGCTTTTATGACCCTAGCCTTGCAGATGGGAAAAGGCAGATAGAAGGAGGTTGGTTAAGTGACTTTCCAAAGGTCACAACCAGTAAGTGGCAGAGTGGGAAGTGGACCCCAGGCTCAACTACAGAGCTCGCCACTTGATCGCCAGATGACATCCAGGCTTCAGGATGGCTACCCTAATGGCCAAGGCAGAGTTGTTCTGGGAGGGGGTCAGGAGAGGCCGACAGACAGAGCAGGGTGGTGGGGTGTCCACTGCAGTGACCAGCAGGAGAGTGGGAGGCCCCCACAGGGCTGCGTTGGTGCAGGACAGGGGAGAAGGTGTGTGTGGGTTCCACAGAGGATAACCCTTCTTCGTGGAATGTCCCGCCACAGGAATTTCCTCTTGCTCCTTTGAATTCTCAGGGCGCTTCATGTCCCTTGCCCAGGGCTTGTTTTTGCCATGCTCCCGTAACAGCTGTGCACATCTTATGGCCTCGTGTCTAGTTCAAGTTTGTAAGGGGCAGGAGGAATCATGCTTTATTGGCCTTAATTTCATTTTTGCAATGCTGAGCACAGTGCTTTCGCAAACAAATGAATTCCCCCAAATTATCTTTTTTAGATCATTTCTCCTCCTGTATGCATTTGCGAAGCCCATGGTAGGTTAGACAGCTCTCTTCAAATATGAGAATAATTTCTTTACACGATCTACTTTAAACCATTTGAAAATATGAGGGAGAGAAGACAGGGAAGCTGTTTAAAAGCAGAGAAACCCTTTAAGAGTCAATGTCACATTTATTGTTATAAAATATTTTTCTCTCTCTGTTAGACATCTGGTTCCCATTATGTTCAGTATTGGGTACTTGAGTTCACCAGGCATTTTGCATACCAAGCAGCGCGTATGCGAAATCCCCCCAACATCCGGCCGTTCATGTTTGCACCATGCAAGTCCTACTTTGCATTTGCAGACAACCTTCCTATCACCAACTTAATTCTTCCCAACATGCTTTCGAGGTTATTTGGTTCATCCTTAGCTTGCGGACCAAATTGACTACGTCTGAGAAAGGAAGGACTTCATCCTGGAGTCTTTGCTTTATGTCCCTGTATGGTCCAGCTATCTATAAGTGCACCCCAAAATCAATGAAACATCTAAAACTTAAATCTATATTTCCCAGTAACATTGACCCAGAAATGAGAAACACAATATGGAATGTTTGCTAATGAGTCATGAATTTCATTATAATTGCTTCCACATTCCGGATAGCGCCCTTAAACCATCTAATCTTGACATATCCTGCAACAATCCCATGTGTTGTAAATGATTTTGTTTTATTCCTTAGGTTACTGTTAAGGGCTTATTTTATGCTTCATTTCATTTTCTTAAAGAAAGCCACACACGTGTGCGCGCACATTCACTCTTGCGCATGCGCGCGCGCGCACCCGCCGGACACAGAGGCTTTTGCTTCGATCTGTATTTTTTTTTTTTAATAAGATAATTATGAAACCAAAAGGAACCCTTATCCTTTGGTTTGGAAATAAAAATAAACACATTTAGGGAGAGAGTTGCAAAACGGTGTACTGTGGAATTCCAGGTTGGGTCTGTGAGAAGGCGAGAATCGAGCAGTGCCTCGGCCAGCAGGCCAGCGGTGTCCTCCCTCTCTGCGGAAGAGGCTATGAATGGACGGACACGGCTAGCATTCAGTACAGCAGTAATGGAAAATTAAATACGACTTTTAAAAAGTGCTCACATTATAAAGTGATCTATTAGCATTATATGACTTTGGCACTTAAAGTGACTGATTCTAATTGTACGATTTGGCCTATGGCAAGCATTAAAGAGCTACAGAATCTTGTGCTTTTTTTTTTTAATCTCTTTTGGGATATTTTAAAGTGGATTTCACGCCCCCCCCCCCCCCCCCTTTGGAATAAAGCTTTGTTCCTGCCACAGAAATGGTTGTGCAGAAGAAATCTCGTAGTCCTGATAGAGCCCGAGGTAATTATAGTTTTTTTTTTCTTTGATTTATGAATCGATAGGGCAAACATTAAG